ACTAAAAAATATGAGATGTAACAAATCTAATTGCCAATAGATGAAAAGGAGAATATAAAATGCTATTTTAGTCCGTCGATGTAAAAATAGAAAAGGTTGAACAATCGAGAATCATATTAGCATTCTAATGCATTCAGGCAATAACATTTGTTAATATTTCCATATCTATTCAATAAGTTGCAGGAAAGAGAATGGATCTTTAGAACAAAGAAATTGCAATGAAAAAGGCAGCAAGGCTGAACAGAAAGCTAAGAAGAAACAAGTTGATGAAGATATATCTAAGCTTTCAACGAAGCTCAAAGAAAGACACGTGGAGGAACTGGCTTCTACAGGATATAGCAGTGCTGCTGAGAATGGAAGAGGAAATCTTGACAATTTGGTAAAGGCCATTGCTGGGGTTTCAATCACAAATCAAGCTTACCATTCAAAACCTAGCAAGGGTTCAAGTGGCGTGAGAAAAGATCTCAACAGGAAGCTGCCAGAGAATAAAGAACACAAGAAGAGTAGAGCAAGATGCTAAGTGATGGAATGATTGAAAGCGAGAAGTTAGAACAAAAGTTGGGACCCCTTGGATTGACAATTAATGAAATAATGTCTGATGGGCACTGTCTATACCGAGCTGTCCAGGATCAGTTGGCCTTTCTCTCTGGAGGTTCTTCTCCTTGTACTTACTAAGAACTCCGGGAAATGGTAGCTGCTTATATGCGGAAACATTCATAAGATTTTCTTCCATTTTTTTCTCTCTGAGAATATAGCAGAGGGAGAATCTGAAAAATCTCTTACAAAAAGGTTTGAGAATTACTGTAGAGAATCTGAAAAATCTCTATGGAAACTTTACAATATTTTTGCCCCCCGTACAACACATTCCTGGCTCTGTCCCTAATCAGAATTAGAATGTCCCATGATCTCCAATTGGTCTGATTTTCTATATATGATCATATAATTCTTAGTTATTACCGAATAACCTACTAGGCTACTTTCCCAATATCAAATCCAGAGTTACTGAAGTATCTGCCAAGGATTTCAACAATGAATGCTATATTTGAATGTGTGCAAACCAAGCATACATTAAGTCACCAATTGCTGAAGCACAGAAAATCTTCTATATATTTTTCTTTAAGTTTACCATTGGGGCATTGATTGAGACTAAACTTGTTGATATCGATATAACTCTTTTGATAATCCAAAAATAATCCCAGAATGATCCCGATATATTTGTCTCCTTAGCATAAAAGAGGTGTTACCAAGATCTTTCATTTCAAAATTTCATGACAGAAATCTCTTGATTTCGTGTAATAAGCCTATATTATTGTAGGCAAGCCATATATTATCAACATATAATACAAGAAAAATATGCTTACTCCCACTGAACTTGTGATATATACAATCATCAAATGCATTCATCTCAAAACCAAAAGAGATCATTATTCGATGAAATTTTTGATACCATTGACTGGAAACATGCTTAAACCTATAGATAGATTTCTTTAATTTATAAACCATCTGACTTGGCTCAAGATCAAAATGTGTCACAAGTGCCATAATAGTCCTAAAAGATGATTTCGTAAAAATCGAAGAAAAGTCTCTTTAAGGTCAATATCTTCCTTCTGAGTAAAGTCATTTACAACAAGATGAGCTAATATCTCTCCACTTCATCTTTCGAATCCCTCTTGATTTTAAATATCCATTTATAACCAATGTGATGATTTCCCAAATGTTATTGTCTTTACGGACTTTATCTCTTTATTCATTGTATCAATTCACTCTTGAGAATAATTTCTTTCCATGGCTCGATGAAAATTGATTAGTCAGATCCTCTCCTATCAATCTCTTGTCATCCTCATATTTTTAGAGAAAGAACTATAAAGTTATTCGTAATTGTCTTTCTCCTTTCTCTAATCAAAACAACCAAATATAGACTTAAGCTTCTGTTACAATATTTGAAAAACCACAAAACTATTCAAGATCAACCACTCAATCTATGGAAATAAAAAGAATCACACAAGAGTTCAAGTGACGAGAGCTCTTCTATTTTCCTTTCTAATACCAGAACCCGAATTAATGCCAAGAGTCAAAATCACACGTGAAATTTGGCTCACAAAAGATCACAGCCCTTGGATATGATCAATGGTCCACAATGAAGTAGAGAAAGCACAATCCAAGCAACAACAAATAAACCAATTAGAAATTGCCTGTGGACTCACAACTTAAAGAGTTGCCTAATTTTGGAAACATGTTTTTATCTTTCAATTTTATAGTTATCATTAATGATATTCGAACTTCTTTTATCAAATGTTTAGAATGGTAAAATCATGAAAGAATGCAGTGCCTTTGTGAATTTTTAAGCTTTTATCACATTGGTGCACGTGTTAAACATGTAACTCTTAAGTTAGACGTGTACCTATATGCCAAGCATGCGTCACACATGTAATGCTTAAGTTAGACACGTGTATATATGTTTACATGTAATAATAAGAACCTAAACTCTTGTGCACAGTGTGCGATGCACGTGCTTTGAAAATTTTTATTTCATTTTCTATTTATACTTTAATATTTTTCTTTTCGCAAATTTCTTGAAGCATACATGCACACAAATTGCACATTCACAAATGTTTCATTTTCAAATATAGTTGTAAATTAATTTGTTTATATCATTAGACAGTCTATTCCATCATTATCGGAGTTGGAAAGAATTATAGGTATCAGCACATGTTTTCTTATTTAAATCTTGTCAACGTAGAAATGTTTAAATAATGATTAATCAAACCTTCAAAATCAAATTCGTGCATGATGAGTTGTAATTTTTTTTTTCTTGTTTACAACTTTACATGTTCACTTAAAAATTAAATTGACTTACAGGCTGATCATCTGAGGCACCAAACCATTCATCGGCTCCAAGAGCTCCTCACCACCCGTCAAGCTGTGAGGTGTTTCTTGGCCATCGCAGAGTACTTCCACCACCTCTGTGCCCTCAGCTCTCCCTTACCATCTGCACCTTTCTAGACCTCCTAATGAAGAATATTATAGCTTTACACTTTTTTACTTTTTTTTATATGTATAGAGATAATAGAACAACTAAGTTAAGACTTTTATTAAAGTAGAAGTAATTAAATTTCCTTTTCCTTCGTTCTTCTCTATTTTCAATGATGGATTACCGAAAATGATTAATAGGGATAATGAATTAACACATTACTTTTGACAGAGAAATGGAGGATGAAGATGTTTAAGGCTTTGTTATATGAGCTTTGCTATGTGTACAAGGGGAGACATGCTCGGTTTACATGGGCCACGCTCAACATTTTTTGATTAGATATTGGCAAAAAGGAAAAATGAAAAATAGGCAACCATACAGGTGCTGCTAACACAACATCTATAACTGCATACACATACATACATACATCCATAGATGATAGATATAATTGTTTATATATGAGAAATCAGAAAATCATCTAGTGAAATATGATATTCTTGATATCATTTGTGCAATACGTGTGCAAACGTAATTTAGGTGAGATTTTTTATGTGAGAGTTATTTATTAATTATTTTTTATTAAATAAAACAACGAACTGAGAATTTTATGACATCGTTTTGAAGGCGTGATTGGTTTTTAAGCTTGAATTGAAGGAATTTAGGGTTTTCGCATATGGTTGGCTTTGAAAGTGGGATAAAGATAGGGAGGGAAATGATTAAATAATAATAATAAATTTTTTTTTCATGAAAATAAAAAGTTAAATGATATTGGACATTCAATTTAAGTCAGTATATTGATATAGAAAATATCCGGATATGGAGCTAAATAATATAAAAAGTTAAAATAATTCATTATCAATGTATCTAATTCACCTTCCACAGGTTGGCTGATCACTTGGATCCTTTGATCTGCTTTTGTTTAATAAAGTTATTCTTGTTTCAGTCAGTAAATTTAAACGAGGTGCATATACACATTCTATTAAAATTAAAATCTATTGTTAATTTCAAAATTCCCACGTGTTTCGTGTTTGAAAAGATAGATTGTGAAAAAAATAATAATAAAAAAACAAATTGTTGATCCTCGGTATGTGATCCGCGAACCTATCCCACGCGTGCGAAGCAGAGAGCGACGCGAGCATGTAAGATTCGCATAACAGATAGCGAACTCTCTCTCTCGTCTAGCTTGCTACATGCTGTAAATAAAAAATACACATGGGCAACAAAGAAGGTTTGACACTCCTAACATAATCAATTACAAGCTAGCCAGTAATGAACCACCATTTGTCATTTTCCTAAATGACCAAATTATTCTTAAGTTTGGAAGGAAATCTATAAATACAAATCAAAGAGAAAGTCATGCAATTCATATATTTCCCTCTCAAATTACTATTTTCTCTTTTGTTCCAAGTTTGAGCATCAAAACCAAAGAGTTTAGGAGGAGAAATAATAGTTAGGTGAGAGGATTTGTTGATCCGATATCTACTATCAACACAAATGTATCTCTCAATCTTGGTAAGCCCCAACCATTCTTCCCATACTGTACTATGTTGGAAATAAATCACAAATCGCCTGTGGACAATATCTTGGGTCAGCTTATAAATAATGTGGTAAACCTCTCTTGCTGAATCGGTTTTGTGAGATGAGTTAAAAGACTATCTTAAATTTTTTGAAAGTAAATAAAGGTGTTTAATTGTTCTTTTGCACAAAGGGAATGCCTGAAAAATTGCAATTGAGAACTTTTTTTTTTTTTTTTACAAAATCAAATTTCCTTTTTCTTTCTTGAACTTTAAAACTTCTTTTTTTATCTCTCCATTCATCTCGGTCTTGATCTGTTTTTTTAGTTATTGCTTCATTGCTAAAACATCAATTTTGGTTACTTTATTTGACAAATGGTAAGGATCAAATATTTGTTATTGTTGGAAATAAATCCCACATCGCATGTGGACAATATCTTGGACCAGCTTATAAACAATGTGGCAAACCTCTCTTGCTGAACCAATTTTGTGAGATAAGTTAGGCCCATAAATTTCTACATACTAGATAAATATATGTATTTTGATTAAGATCGAATTCAAGTGTAGATTCCATTATGTTTTATATATTTCCGCAAAAAGTCAATTTTATGTTATAGACGTTTATAATCTTTCAAATGTACCTTGCCCATGAGTAATGATGTCAGTTCTATATGTCAAACACGTAGATTTTTACTCCCCTTGTCATCTTTATTTTATAAATAAATATATATGTCAAAAAAATTAAAAAACCAAAAGGTGGGCACAAACTAGGGCAAACCCCCCTTGTTGTGCAAAAATACTTGGGATTTTTCCCCTTGGGTTTTGTCATTCCCCACCCGTCGTAGCAAAGCCAGGGAAAATCCTCCTGGTTAAGAAAAATATCTCGGGAAACCCATGGTTTCATCATTTTTCAAAAAGAGCAATATTAAGTTCCAAAAAAGTTAATAATTAAAAAAAAAAATTAAAAACAACTAACTAAAAACATTATTTTGAACCATAAATAAAATAAAATTCTACACTAGTCCATAAGTTTAA